GGGAGGTGGGCTAAAATATAAGCCATTGTAACTGAAATATAGATCAACTGTGTACGAATTCTTCTAGAGAAGCAACAGCCAACATTTCAAATATAGATCATCTGTCTCCATTTGAAAGAAGGTGACACCCTTTGAATACCAGTATTATTAAAAAAATGTAGGGAACTGAGTTTGCTTTGGATTTAGAAGCACTCATTGTGCTAGGCACTATAAGACAGCAGACTAAAAGGGGCTAGCTTTACAGGGTTCTATTTAGAAAGACAGTCTCACAAGATACTTATTAGGATTCAAAAATAATTCTAAATTAGGAGGTCTGAAAGTCAGGAATTAGGGCCAAGAACACATATTTAAAAATCAAGAGTGGCATCTCAATTAAAAAATATTCTATTTTTATTTTATGTGTATGAGTGTTTTGTCTGCATGTATGTAAGTGTACCATGTGTATGCAGTCCCTATGGAGGCCAGATGGGAGTTAGATCTCCTGGAACTGGAGTTATAGATGGTTGTTAGCCACCATATGGGTGCTGGGAACCCAATCCAGGTCCTCAGGAAGAGCAGTAAATGCTGTTAACTGGTGAGTCATCTTTGTAGGCCTTGACATCTTAATTTTCATACAACAAAATGTACCCCCCGCTTCATGTCTTGGCTCACAGAAATAGTCCAACTCATTCAATGTTGTTGGAATTAAAATCTTACAAAGGTGAGGACTAAATCTAACATTTATTGCTATATTCCTAGCATCTAATGCAATGTCCAGCACATAGTAGGTATTTGACATTAAGGTGTTGAATGAGTGAATAAATGCTCTAAACTTATTAAAGCCCAAAGCTCTAACCATGAAATGAAACCCCCCAAAAAAGGAGAATAGTAAGCTGTCGGGACGAGCTGTCATTTCAAAATCCCCGTTGAAGCTGCTTAATAAATGTGTTGGGTTGATACACCCCATGTCTAGAAAGTTGTAAAACAACTGGAGAACGACCAGAGCCAGGCTTGACTTGCTCCAGATTACAGAGAATGACAGCCAGACTTACTGTTTGCATTCCTGTCTCTGCCTTTTGGTGAGCAGTTTCCGTTCCAACAAAATCTTCTCATTTTTAATACACTTGGATACTCATGTCTAATGATTTCATGTATTGCACCAATCAGCCTTTGGGGTACCCTTGACATGCGTTTTTCAGATGAACTTTTACATGTTGCACACAAACCAGCCAGACACCACTCATTCTGACAGGAGCCTCTCAGGTGAGGATTGAGGCTTCATTTCTTGCTCCAGAAACAGCCTTCTTCCCAGACTGTTTAAAACCAGTTCCCCCACCCCCATATCTTCTGTAAACTTGTCCAGACATGGGGAGCATCATTAGGCCAGGTCTCACAGTCATTCCACTGCCTGCAAAGCAATCATTTATAGGCATTTGGTGTTTCTTCTGACATCTGTTTGATGCTGGAGCTCCAGCCTTGGTCTCAATGAATCACTTGTCAGAGAGGCTGCAGCATCTGAAGCTGGATTTCATACCTTTAGGAAGGCTTGCCTGGGATGTAAGTGATGTTAGGTCATTTTTGAAATGACCCCCAGTGTCCACAGGAAGCAGGGAAATAAGGGAGGCTGAGAACCTGATGTGTATTCAAGGTTTACTTTGCTCTGTTCCTACAGGCTCAAGCTGGACTTGCTTTCTTCTCTGAGGAATACATAGTCAGCTCTCCTCCATGGTCAGAATGCTGCTGTCCAAAGAACCTGACAGAAATATTTGTGTAGAGTATTTGAAAACATCAACAGAGATTGCTTTAAAAAGAACAAGTAGGGCTGGAGAGATAGCTCAGTGATTAAGAGCACTGACTGCTCTTGCAGAAGACCTGGGTTCAAGTCCCAGCACCCACACGATGGCTAACAACCCTCTGTAACTCCAGTTCAGGGGAATCCAATGCTGTCTTTTGACCTCTGCAGGCATTGTACAACACGGGTGTGCTTACCTACATGCAGGCAATACACTCATACACATAAAATGCAAATAAATAAAAAAATATTTAAAAAAATAAAATAAAAAGAACAAGCATATTCACCATTCTTTGGTAGTCTTCATTAGATAAATTTTTTTTTTGGTCTTTTTGAGACAGGGTCTCCCTGTAGCCCCAGCTAACCTGGAACTCACTACGTAGACCAGGCTAGTCTTGAACTCACGGAGATTCGTCTACCTCTGCCTCCCAAGTGCTAGGACTAAAGGCATGCACCACCATGCCTGGCTGGTCTTCATTAGGTAATTTTTTAAAAGGTGCCTTTCAATGACAGTATTCATGTTGGTTCATGACTATCTAGAGAAACAGGGGGTGGGAGAAGGGATCAGAAGTCAGACTGGGTTAGAAATCTGGCTGAGATCAACAAGACATACAACCTTGAAGGTCCTTTCTTTTTTCCACAGGTACCTGTGACCTCATAAAGTATATGTGGCAAGTTGCTTTGAAAAACCACAAGGCCAACAGAAGCGCCTTGTGAAAAATGATTATTCATATAGTATCTCATGGAAATGCTTAAGGAAGGGGAAGAGCTAAGTCTGAGAACAGTGTAAGTGAACTTTTGAAACCAAGGCTCTCTTAACACACGGAGCACCCCTTAGGGAGCAGATGGATGTCAGATGAGCTTAGAGAGAAAATGAGAAGGGAGAATCATGAAATTTGTTACTTCACTGATTTGTAGAAAAGCAGGACTCTAGATAAGGCGTATGTTGTAGATTCTTCTGGTGACTTTTGAACTCTGCCTTGGTTTCACGGAGAGTCACAATAAGAAGAGGTTGTCACAGAAACTGCCAGGGAGGGAAGTCAGAATCTCTGCATCTGATGAAACAGTCGGGGTAATGTAAGGTTTTAATTGAAAGAGAATAGGAAATGGAAGCGGAAATGGATATCCCATCTGAGCCAAGTCTTAGCAGGACCTTTTTCAATGCTTCTAAACTAGGGCAAGAGGGATAGGGGTGGGGCCGAGATGGAGGCTCATCAGTCACTTCTTGCATCTGAGTTGGAAACATTTAGCACAGAAAGGCAAATCATTTAATCATTTAGCAGGCTGACTCAGTGCTGACCAAAAGTTGTGAACCCTTGGGAATCAGGAATTCCCCCTCAAGAAGTGCTAAAACATTTCACAGCAGGAACTTCAGATCTTTCTGACCCAGGCTGGGGGAGATTGGGAATTGGTAACCCAAACTTCCCGCATGACAAAGACTTCCCCTCCCTTCCCAACACGCTGAAATACTGGGGAATCCCAAGGGAACATTCTCACTCCCAGCTGTACTACCACCCCCCATACCCAATACAAGGTCAGGAGGTTAATAAAACTGCCCTTTGAAATTATAAGCAGGACCATGCCAGCACAAATATTAGACCTCCACTTGAGTCTGAATCTGCAGTCTGTCATGAGGAAGCCCATTTGCTTCAGAATCCCGGTGTTCTGTGCACACTTGCTTGGGTAGGGTAGGTTCCACATGCTTCAGGAGGGCACCAGCTCAAAAGGAAGTGGTGTGAGCTCTCTGGGGTTAGAAAAACTGTGCCTGGACCAACATGAGCAAGGGTTTGAATGTTTTCTGCTTTTATTAAGTTTTTTTTTTTTTCCTTTTAATTTCTCTTGATTTTTAAATTTACATTTCTACTCTGTTTTATAAGGTACCCTCATTCTTGAGGATGGGCCTATAAATGAATAGCATTTCTTCTTGAGTTAATCAAAACCATCTATTGATTTCCAATGGGCATCAAGGACCATTGGAAGAAATAGTTCATTGCCCTCAACTCTCAGAAAGTGTCTTTCAGGACAGATATTACAAGATGATCCTTTGATTGAAGGATGATAGGTCACTTCCCAAATCTCTTTGCTCCCTTGAAGGAATGGCTCCCGGGAAAGTAACCTGCTGCCCAAGTAGAACCAACTGGAAAAGACGCTTCTTTTTTTAAAAAATATTTTTAAAAATTTATTATTTTTATTTTATGTGTATGAGTGTATTGCCTGCATGTATGTGAATGCACCCATGTTGTGCAATGCCACGGAGATCAGAAGAGGGCTTCAGATTCCCCTGGAACTGGAGTTAAGGACAGTTTGTAGCCGCCATGTGGGTGCTGGGAATCGAACCCAGATCCTCTGCAAGAGCAGTCATTACTCTTAAGGGCTAAGCCATCTCTCCAACCCCAACACTTGCTTCTTTTTCTGTTGAGGTTTCACAATGGCTTCAAGAGAAATAAATACTAATCATTTGTTTTGGCCCAGGAGAAGGGTTAGTTTCAATAAGCCCCATAAATTAACTGGTCCAGACTATAAAAAATGTCTAGTCTATCTGTTGGAGGACCCATTTTTCCAGTCTCATTGGTCAATTACCTGGTGATAGAACCACTCCCAGGAAGACAAGTTATGCTAAATAGATGGGGGGAATACCTGGTGTGTTAAGTAGCAAATATTTCTGCCTGGAACTAGCTCAGATCCCCACAGAACTTCCAGACCAGCCAAAGCCAGGTAGGTCTCCGTAAGTCTGTCTGCTTTCCTGAACTCTTCAGGAAAGTGTAATTTCTTCTTTCTTCTTCATGCCTTTCTTACATGCTTTCTTTAAGGCTTTGGGCTGCCCCAGCATCTTGTATTTCTTCACTTTTTCTCTAAAGCTTCCTTCTCCCAACCATGTGGCTGCAAGTCAGCCACGTGTCTGACCTTCCACTCAGGCTCTAAACCTGCATGGCTCCATGGCTTTATTTCCTTCTTCCCACTATTCACCTCCTCAAGGCAGCTGCCAAGATAACCAGCTCGCCTGCTCTGAGGATTTTTCTTTAAGATTCTAATAAAATTGTAAAAGCTTCCGTTTAGGTCCATTCTTAAATTCTTTTATGAATGAGACTAAGAACCCTCTAGGGGATCCTCTTTCTTCTTTGAGAAGCAGAACTTATTTTGAAGACTTAAACAGGCAACGCAAATGTAAACAGAAGCTTGGGGCTCCCGAATACTGAGGCTAAAAAGAGTCAGTCTGAAAACACCAGTTCTACTCAGCATTTATTTTCATTGCAAGATAGTGGAAATCAGATATAAATCACAGACGGTACTTCCTGCCTGGCAAATGTCCACATGAATCTGTCAACCTCTAAGTATAGTTACAGTATATTCCAATAGAAAGACAGGAAGATACGCAGTCATTTAGCAACCAATACTGTAAACTACAGTAGATACAAAGTTTTATATAAATTAATTGCCATTATAAAAAAGGCAACTGCTTCAGCTAAGAAGGTACAAAAATGGGTAACTTCCATAAATATAACAAGATGCTAACTGAAGAAATACTTAACAGACTGCTTTTCCTATATATTTGAATATGCAAACTAAGACACCTGTGGCACCTTACACAAAAGTAAGAACAGGAATACAGTCCCTCCTCCCTTCTCCCCCCCCCCATCCCCATGGATTTCCCAAACACAGACAAATTCTAGGGTTACAAGGACAGGATGCTTCAAGGAAGCAGGAAGACAGCAAACTCCGACCTGCTAGACAAAGAAAGAGCCTTATTGACAGTTGTAAAGCACTAGGCGTCAGACAGAAACTTGTCAAAAACAGCTGTTGTTGGGTACTGATTGATAATGTTTTCATTCTGACGGCTGAGATGCTGCAGACAGTCGCAGGGCTGTGGAGAAGCCCATCACTGGTGCACATGAACACACACAGACAACGGGAAGTCATTTAACAGATGGCTGAAGAGCACTCAGCCACAGCATCTTCAAAAGACAGCATTCTACATTTAATGAACTTGCAGGGAAAGCAAGGCCTGAAAATCATTTTTTTTTTTTCCACAGAAGATGAGCACAAGAGGATAAAATAAAAACAGGAACTGCATAACTGGTCATTGGAATAAAGTTTGGTGCTGCCCATGGATCGTCATACAGTGTTAAAAATACTCAGGGATGCTGTAGACAAAATTGTTCATGGATCCTTCTCTGGTCCATGCATATACAAGATATATATATATAACACACATATACACATATGTTTAAAGAAATGTGGGATGATTTAAAACCAATTTGCAAGACAAAAATCACAAAAGCTACATCTAAGTATTGTGAGGGACCCAAAGAATATCCTCTGGAGAAATACAAGGTTTTCTGTTGCCCTGTAATACAGTATCAAGTCTGTGGTATTTGGGTATCAGTCTTTGCTACCTAAAAATTACAAACACGTTTTTATTGCTCAGGTGTAGGGAGCAGTTTTCTATCATCTGGCCACTTAGTATTTTAATAAGTGGGCCAAAAGTCTACAAAATGTGCCAAAGAATATCCTATTTATGAATCTCAATGTTCATAGATTATTCCTGATTTAGAAAAGGTCAAAGGTGCTGAACCTTAATAAAACTGTACACTCACACAATTTTATCGTTTAAACTAAGTGGAAAAAATTAGTTCCAAAGACTGAGTCTAGGCCCTCAAGTTATTTATTTGCTGCAGCCCCAGTACATTCTACGGGCACATTAAAACCCCTGAAAATAGAGGTTTATAATAGAAATACTGATAGACCTTTAACTATTAGATGAAGGCTTTAGCAGACTCCCCTAAACTATATTAGCACTTGATGAATAAATACACAGGATTTGTCTTTGATGTCTGTCAAATCCATGTTAGCTTAAACCTTAACCAACAGAAATTATACTTTGGCTGTTTTGTCTATTAGTTGAAAAATTATTTTCTTGATTTTCATCAAACAATTCTGATTTTTTTTTTCAGAAAAAATGCTTATATTACATTGTAGCTTGATTTTATGCAGATTAATGATCCCATTAAGAACTATTTGAGGCCTTGATCAAATGGGAATCAGCAACTCTCTCAAAAACTAAAACAATGTGTCTGCTCTTAAGAGAGGAAAGGGAACAAGGCTGCAGGGGAATCAAGGTATCACTGCACGTCTAGAGTCTCTGGGGGCTTCAGAGTCAATTTTACTGTGGACTGATACTCCGTTATGATAGAACAAGTCATTGAAAATTTTGGTGTTCATCTTTCACGCATATACAAAAAATTGAAAAACAGGTAAGATAAAATTAAAACAAAACCCAGCCTGCAAGAGATCATGAAAATGGTATACATATTGTGTGGCATCCCAGTCCTCTAATCCCACACTCAGGGAAAATTAGTCAAAGTACATGAGTCTTTGTGTTTTCTTCAGAAGGGATGTGATTTCCATGAGCTGTGAGTTCCATCCATTTTAGCACAAGGTACAGAAGAAATTCTTAGAAGGACAGAAGGAAGAGACATAGGGTGAAGATAATTAGTGGTAAACAGAGAATACATTCTCTCTCAGTAGTGTGTACTTGACGTTAATGCCGATGATAATTCACCTGACTTATGGAATATTCACTTTAACAGAGAGATGAGAGTCTGAAATAGCTAAAGAAAATAGATACTGAAGCCATGACAGTCTTGACACCAACATGAAATTAAAACAGGAAGTTAACATAAGTTCAAGGCTTTGGGGGGGCTTTTGTGCCAGATTTCACATTCGCATAGCTTCATGGTCTTTTTCTTCTAACAAGTTTATGAGCTGGGAAAAGCTGTCTTTCAGTGCATCTGTGTTATCCAGCGAGCAGGGCTGCAGAATCCAGCGTTTGCCACGTGCGAGTGGTTCAAGTTCAAAGTATTTTTTGATCTGAAAGAGAGGGGAAAAAAAGGTAGAGATGTTAAAAATTTTATCAGAACCTTTTTCTGACTAAGACTCCGAGTGATAAAGTGGGGATTATCAAGGAGAATTTATATGAATAGTCATGTCTAGGAGCTTCTATGACTTCTATCTACTGTCATTGCTATAAAAGGGGTTATATTTTGTGACCTGGGAGTGTTTTCTTTAGGTGTGGGAGACCTGCTTGCAAACCACCATTCCAACTTTACACTCAAATGCACAGGAGTTCTTATGAAGTCTGAGAAAGGATTCTATGTACCATGATGGTACAAAGGGAGATACAATGAAGACACCAAAAAGACTCAACTTAATCAAAACATCGTTAGCCAAGTAGTTTTTATTACCTCACCCTGAAGGCTGACTAAATTGGTAACAAAGCATGTACTGTATCAATTACATACGACAATTATCTGAACCATCACGTACATAAGCAACAAATCCAATTTGAATGATCTTTTTCTTTCTCTCTTAAATCTGAGAACTAGGAAAGTGTCCTCTAGGAAGGACAGGAACTGAAGGTGCTGAGTAAGGGCACATGCAAACTCAGATAAACTAATAAATTTATACACATGCACAAATGCACAAATCTCCCAGCTCCCCACTCTGAATTTTCTGAGAGGAAAAGATCCAAGCCTGACAGGTTCTGTAAGAGGGTGTGCTTTCTATCCTAAAGTCTGTTCACTAGCCACAAGGAATTCACGTTCCATTGGCTTAGGCTACTGACCAATAGCACTGACTATTACCAACCTGACTCAGTTTCATGCTGCTAGGATTTCCAGAAGTATTGGTGCTCTCTTCTCAAGAGGTAAAGCACAAAATTCCTACAGCTACTCACTTGTACACACTAAACTATGCCAAAGTAGAACTCTGTACTTACTGCCCAGCAAGGTTTTATAAAAACCTTAAGATCTTCTGAAATGCTTCATTCTGCCTACGCCATTACAAACACCAGATTACTATTAACAGTAGAGCTATGCCACTCAAACTGGTTTGGGGGAGCAAGATATAAAAGAAATACAAAGGCTTTGTTGTTGCTGCTGTTATTTGGCTTCTTAAGACAAGGCCTCATTATGTAGCCCTGGCTGGCCTGGAATTCCTCGTGTAGACCAGGCTGGCCTCAAATTTTGGCAATTTTCCTGTCTCTGCTTCTCAAGTATTGGGATTAGAGAAGTTCACCACCATATCTGGCTCAGAAATAGCCAGAAATAGCTAATTTAGAAATGAGGAAGGTGCTCATATTTTATGCTTCAAGAGTATCAAAAAAAGTCCTCATATATTTGGCGAATTGCCAATAAGTGCTTTTTTGATTCTTTTAAAGAACTGCCTATGAGAATTAGGAACCCTCTTGATTCCGATTCCGAATAGCAATGAGAATTTCATCCATGGACCAGAAAATGGGTCAGAAAAATTTTTCATGCAAAGTATTGCAGGAATCATTTTAAGAGGACCCTTGTTTGTTACAACAAGGGGAGAATGGGGAGATGGCTAAGTGACGTAGTGCCTGCTGTGCAGGTGTGAGGACCAGCATTTGGATCCTCGGAACCCATGTAAATAAGGTGGGTGTGGCGACCCACCTGAAATCACAGCACCCTCAGAGGGTGAGCACAGTAGATCCCTGAAGCAAGCTGGTGCCTAGACCAGTAGTATAGGCGAGCTCTGGGTTCAGCTAAGAGATCTTGCTTCAGTGAATGAGGTTGAAAGCAGCTGAGGAAGATCCCTGCTCAATCTCAGGCCTTCACCCATACCCACATGTACCCAAACACATACAAACATGCATACACATATGCACACCACACACAGACACATGGAAAAAAAACACCCCCAAACCAAAAAGAAAAAAACAAAACGAAACCAAAAAACAAAATCCTCCACACTCTATTCTTCTCTCTCTCTCTCCCTCCCTCCCTCGCCCTTTCTTTCTTTTTCAATATTGATTTTACTTCCAAGAGCACCTAAAAATGGCTTTGTGCGATAATCACCAATGCTAAAGGCTGATCCTGCCCCACAGAGGGGGACCTGGGAGCCCTTGGTCAGCAGGTAGATAAGGAGCTGTGGAAGGGACAGGTAGGGAACATGGAAAAGATCACAGCTAGGGGCAGGGAAGAGGGCTTCTCCAAAGGTTATAAATGAAAGTCATTTGTCTCCTCACTTCCTCCACAAAATGAGGCTTTGGATTCTACCTCTGATCCCAGGAACTGGGGCTGCCACTCTCGTAATGTACCCTGGGGTGTTTGATCAATGCTTCCCCCTAGATGACAAGCAACAGGTAACATCCAAACACTGGAAAGTCAAGTACATGCACCTTTGACATTTTACAACGTTAAATCAAAAGGACAGCATTTTAAATATTGCTAACTAGGAAGAGCACCAATCACAAGAGATTCAATAATACTGAAATGGAAAATAAAGGGTATGTCATTAACAAGACTTCTGTGGGATTCAGTTAAAAATCATGTAATTGACCCTAACAGTACAATTCTACCTAATTTGAAAACAAATGTTGGGTTTAATGATCACCAAAGTAGCTTGTCACTTTTTACATTACTGACAGACATAAAACCTAGTGAATTTTAGCTAGTTTATCATGTAGGCAAGACTTGGAAGAGAATAAAGATGTCTAAAGGTAGGCACACTGAGGAAGTTGTTTCATCGAAGCCTAAACACAGAAGGAAATGGAAGCTGTGACGGGGTGGTCATCAGACAGAGGAGCCCAGTGGTGTTAAGCTGACAAATATGGCTGAGTAATGAGATTTTTCAGATCCATAACCTAAGTGGGTACCTAACTATGCTACAGTCACCATGCTGATATCCAAAATATCCCACACAATTTCTAATATCAGTTTTAAAACAGGACTGCCATTCTACAGACATCCAGGCACGGTGCCTTGCTCTACTGCTTCTCTCCTTCAGAGCTTACTTTTTCTAAACACTGTGACTGTGGTACAAGAGGCAGGGGAAGGCGTACTGCTCTAATCTAAATGTGTTAAGAATAACATTATTATTTTCTTAGATTAACCTGGACATCCCCAATATTATTATAATAAAAATTATAGTCAGATGGACTTTTGGATTAGCATGCTTTTTAATTCATGTTTATGTTGATGTATCATTTTAAAGAGTTGTGTTTAAGTTTGATCGACATGAATGTGTTTACAGCTGGTTCCTTTAAACCTTAAAGTGCCCCGATGTAAAGATCTTTGTTGAAGACTATTTTCTTATCAAGATAAAAGTTATAAGTACGACTTATGAGCAAACGAACCTAAGTGTTTTGAAACACTTTATCAGCTGACGCTATGACATGGTTAAATGGAAAATGATAGAATAAGGAGATGGCACTTGGGGGAATGACATCAGCACACAGCTGCCTGGCAACCTGTAGTCATTTAGCTATTTTGGGATGGCCACAGAGTGGGCATTTGTTAGAAACTTCATGTCCACCTTGGAGATAGGAAAACAGCTACCGTAAGTAGCCGACCTATTTTAGCTATGTCATCAGAGCCCTTCTTTCCTCGTGTTTGGAGGGTGCTTTGCATGACTGAATTCCATTATTCACACATCGAATTCACCGCACAGTCTTAATATAACAAGAACTGGCACCGTTCTGCTGTTGCTAATGTTTGTAGCAGCTGTTAAACCTGTGAGACGTTACATAGCACAGGAGTCCCACTCACAGGGCAGGGCCACCTTCATCTGTCCTTAAGTAGTGAAACCCTAAAACAATCCTTCTGGTTATAGATCACAGAAAGGATTGTGATGATTCTCACTGAGGTTCCTGGCAGGCCCTCACTTCAGTTTTTTAAAGATCTTACTTTTAATTCCTGTGACCAAATTTTTAGAAGGTATATGAATAGTTCCTAACTCTAATAATTGGCCTTTCTTTCTTAAAAACTGCAAATTTTATTATTTATTTATTTATTTACAGTGATAAACAGTTTGTTTCCTGTATTTTGTTATTATATAAATCGTGTGTGCTTGGGGGTAATCTTAGATTAAGTTTTCCTTTTGGGAAAGTTTTACTTTTGGGGAGTGGGATGTTAGAAAAGTCTAGAAAGGGTTTACTTTGTGCTTTATATAAAATAGATTAGGATTCTAAGCTTGGAAATTTATAACAGAGCTTTGACTCACATGAATATGTGGCAAGATATTAAAGAAAGAGTGAAGGAGTGACAGTTCATTGTATGGGACTACTCCATGATACAATGTCATTCTTATTCTAGTGAATTACATGTTACAAGTACCAACTGGTCATTGCTAAAGCTAAAGGCATTCTCCCCTGCCTCTGATGCCACAAACCTCACCTGCAGTGGTCTGCCACTGAACTGCCTATCTAGCTTGGGGGTACCTCTCCTATCTGTCTGGAGCCATTGATGGAAGCTGAGCATTTCTTCACCTGTTTTCCTCCAGATCTATGAACAGCACGGAGGTTTCCTTTGCAAAATACTAGCAGACTTTCAATGGCTTTTCTTAAGCTTGCAGATGGTTGTGATGGATTGTAATGGGGTATGAAGCAATCTAAGGAATTTGGATCATTCTCATCCTGAAGGTTGGCTTCCTATGACTTCATTCATGTATCTACTACCATCTCTGAGCATGCCAAGGCAGGGGGTACACTGCAGTGAGCCCCCTGTGCTAGCATGCTACTGCAGTGAGTATGGGGAGGAGGATAGAGGCTATAAAACTGGGACCAAAACCCGACCCAGAAGCAATGACAGCCTGGCCAGGGCACTGTCTTTATCTGATTCATGGGATTACAAACCTCCCATCCTGGGCTTTTCAATGATCATAAAAGACTGTTTAAGAGCATGCAGTTTCCTAAGGGCTTCTCACTCATCTCTACTCTGTGACTATACTGCAACTGGAAGCAAAGCAGCTGATTCAAATAAAAAGTGATATGGTTACTCAACTAGTTCTTACATTATGTGACTCAATTTGATAAGTAGCTTGCTGGGGGTGGGGGGTGTTAAAGAGAC